GGTCAGAGGGAGAAGCAGACTCCCTGCTGAGCAAGGAGCCCGATGTGGGACTCGATCCTGGGACTCCAGGATCATGACCTGAGCTGAAGGCAGTCACTTAACCAACTGAGCCACTCAGGCGCCCACAGGGGAATTCTTAAACGCTATCAGAAGATAAAAAGAAAATTCACCACAAAGGAACACAAGGCAGATGGACAGCAAACTTCTTTGCAACAAAAATCTACACCATATGAAGTTTAATACCATAGGAATGATGCCATCAGCTCAGAATTCCATACCTGGCTATGGTGGATATTTTCTCGTGTGGGCTACCTGGCTTCCAGGAACACCGCTCCCGCGGAGAATTCCTAGACAGGAGGGAATCAAGTCCCCATCTCCCATCAGAGGGCTCCAGCCTTTGTCCCCTGGCCACTGAGTTCAGGCTCTTGACTTCCCTAAAGCCATGTAGATGCCCCCACCTTTGAGGGAGTGACCCCAAGGGGAAACCAAGAATGGGTGGCATAGCAGCAAGTGTCCCGGGTGATGGCATCCAAACCACATTGTCCTTGTGACCAGGTCTGGGCTGGATCACTTGATTCCCTGTTTGGTTCTCCCCCCTTCTTGTCGGTTAGATGGGTTCCTGATATGCTTATTTTTCATTTTAATTCGAGTCTGCTTCTCTTCCCATGTAGTCAAGAAGGGCCTTGATGGGCTAAGTTATCACTCAGTAGTTAGGGGATAGGGAGTGCAGGGCGCAAGGGGAGGGGTCACCATCTATAGGGCTTGGTGGGCCCGTCTCTCTGGTAAGGTGTCTTCTAAGCAGAGACCTGCAGGAACGTCAGGAGCGAGGCGGGAGGCTCTCTGGGGGAAGAATAATCCGCATAGTGGGAATGGTAAATGTGAAGACCCTGGGGCGGCCTGTTGTAGAACAGCCTGGTGAAGGCCGCTCTGTGTTCATTAAAAAGCCCTATCTTCTGTCTACCCACTGGGCACATGGCTAGTGGACGTTTGCCATTGCAGTTCAGTGTGGCTCAGCCCCACCATGCCCAAGGGGACATGGGAGTTGTGCGCTCGTGGCCCTTCTGACCTCGCCTGCAGCCCTCTGGACTTGCACCTCTTCCTCTCCTGCCAACAGCAAGTCTGAAGACTCCACGGCCCTGGTTCCTTGCACTCTTGAAGTGGTCCTGGGTTAGATGATAGGTTCTGTGATCCCCCTACTTATCGTCTCCATCTGGAACTTTCCCTGCCCGACCTCAGTTGGCTTGGGTCCCCACAAAGTAAACATCCCCCCAGATGCCTTCTCTGTGCTGGGGACCATGATCTCCCCAAAGTCCAGCTTGGAATCATTAGCCATGTGAAAGGCAGGGATTTCTGGGATACCTTTCCTTCCCAGGTCGGTGGACACGGGCAGTGTGATATAATAAGGTATATTATATCCTGGCAGAGCTAGAAAACCCACGAAATTGCCTGACACTTCCAACTCTCATTTCCCTCCATAGGTTCAGGATGGGGGCTAGCCACCAGGAAAACCAACCAAGATGGCCCAGCGAAGGACTCGGCTTCTACCTTCACCAACAGTTCTAGCTGTCTGTGAGCCTCCTGTGAACTGGACTCTCTCCACGC